CCCCCCCCCCCAATTAATAAAAGGAAAAAGAACACATTTTTTTGAGAATTGCAAATTAAAATTCTTGTGAGAAACAAAGGGTTTGGTTTTCTATAGTTGACTCTTTATTGAAAAAAAGAGTGTGTTTCCCAAACCCCTGAAGGAAATTTGTTTTTATGAAAGGGACGGTAACTGATGTTCTTTTTACACACTTTTATATCTTTTGAAATGTTGATGAGAAGATAACCTAGTTATATATGTATTACAGATAGGAGCTCCGCCGGAAGTGGTGGCAAGGCTAGAGGAAGTATGTGCCACGTCAGCTACAATAGGCCGTAACAGTGGCGGCATTATCGGAGAAGATCCAGCGCTAGATCAGTTCATGGAAGCTTACTGTGAAATGCTGACAAAATATGAACAAGAACTCTCAAAACCCTTTAAGGAAGCCATGGTTTTTCTCTCAAGAATTGAGTGCCAGTTCAAAGCTCTCACTCTTACTTCCTCCTGTGAATCTGGTGATGACTCCTTCTCTAACCCCCTTTTCTTTGATGTTTCCCCCCTTAATATCGGTGGCTTCTATTCTTTTCAGATCCTAACTGTTTTTTTGAGTTTATTTTGATCAGTTGGTTTGTTTTTCTAAAAATTAATGTCCTCTGCATGTGCATGTTTCCAAGGATATGAGTATTTAATTAACTTTAAACGAGCTCCATTCCAGATGCAATTATTATTTTCCCATTCTTTAATCACATTCTACTCTCTTTTAGTACTAATCTTTTTATTTTCGGTATTTTTCTACATATTCAAACTAGTTTCTAGGGTAATATGGTATGCATCTTATAAGGCGTTGCTTTGTTATATATAGGTATGTAACAATGACTCTTTGTTTTGATTCCCTCTCAATGAACCTGTTTTGTTCTTCTACATATTCATCTTCTGTTTATGTTTGGAAATGTATAGTATGAGTAGGTGTAAACAGCAACATACATTTGTCCCTTGTTAATTATTTCAAACTTGATGTTTGTGTATGCTGAAGAAACCAATTTGTCTTGTTTCTTTATATGGTATGACCCTGGGGAATATGACTTTCATGTTGCAGTTTTTTTTAAGAACAGCCAATCAAATTTCTTTTCACTATTCGTGTCCAGGTATTGTTTCTGTTATCATGTAGTTATCTAGTTAGTTTCATTCGAATCTTTATCTTTTGCGGAATAATTAAAAGCTTGTACCTGATCTAGTGAAATTCTAACCCCTAGTGTTAAATAAATTTTTATTTGGAATCAACTAAGTTATTTTATCTCTCACACTCTAAGAACCAGATTGTTGCAATTTATTTTTTTGGCGAACTCTTTTTCCACTATAAACTTGCATTTGAAGTCAGTTCTTATGGTTTAGTATTTAATAATTCACATAAATGCAAGTTCTGGTGGCATTTCATTTGTTTTAGGATAAATTGAAACTCTATCCTTTGCATGAATGTGGATGTTCTGATGTTCAAAGAGAAAGATTCTCTTTTTGTTAATGTAGAGTTTAAGTTAAAAAGTATTTGCAAGTAAATCTGTTTCATAGCATTTATTTATAACCTAACATGAATGACAGATTAACCTATATTTAACCTAAATAAAACTTAAATATTTGGTAAATAATAGTATTGTTTTAAGGCATAAAAATGGAGTTTATGAAAAATTTCGCTGAAGCATGCACTAATTTGTTGTCTTGGAAATGATTCATAGTTTACAAAATGCTTAAATGCAATGGTCTTTTGTTTAACTTTGAGAAAAGAACCTTTATCTACTGGGAGTAGTTTGTATATATTTGAATTCAAACTTTTTAACTTAATTAGTTTAACCTAGAAAGCAACAATTCAGTATGATTCCCCTGATCGTTCTCTTTGCCAGCACTAAATTTTCATTTATGGGCTGTGAGGAAGTGCTTGAGCTGAATGATTAAGGCATCACGAATAGTTCCAAACTTTGACATGATTTCAGGTCCCTCTAAATGTCGTCTCTAGTTACTACAGAAAAGAATATAAAGATAAATGACAACTGATGGAGATATGCACCTTGTTTTTAGAGGGACCCATACATGACTCTTGATTAGATTTGGAGCTTTGATTGGAGTATATGATAACCTCCTTGATATTTCATTAAAAAATATTTCTTTTCTCATGCAGTAAATCATTGGGTGTTCCATTTCCCTGAAATGGGAAAAATGAAATCACGCTTTGCTTGTCTTCACTTCCTCTTTTTGCTTATTATTTGACAAATAGAATGTGATTTCTAGCTACTACTATTTTAATGTTTCCTGATTAATGAAGTTGGTGCATTTATATCGGAACTTCTGTTTGATTTTATAGTTCGTCCAGTTTTTTGGTTGATTTCGTTTTCTTTTTGGTCCACCAAATATCTGATCAAATTTATTCCCAAATGAAAAACACTGACTGCTTATTATGATCTCGTCGTATTATTGTTCATATGCTAGTTGGCAAGCAGTTTCTTATTCAGTCAATGTTGTATGTAATTTTCTTTCTTTTTGGACTTATTATTGATTTAGTCGACATACATAGAACTTGTGAAATAGTAAGGTATTTTTAAATGAGCCTTTAATTGGCTGAAGGACCCTTTGAGGTGCGAAAGTAAATCTTGTGGTGCCTACTTTCCTTTGTGCAAAAGGAGTGTCATTCCACGAGAATGAGCATTTTTAGTGCTTGCACTCAAGAGACAACCGAAAGAATTAGCTCTTTTTGAACTTATTCTTAACCATTGATAGGGACCCTCAAGTTTGTTGGTTGATGATTAATAATGCAGTCATTCTCAAGTTTATAGTAACTAAGTTACGTTGCTCAAAGTTTATAAGCTTCTGAAATGTTGTTGTACCTTGCACAGATTTGGTGAATTAGGAATTCTTTCTTTTATTATTGTGTTAATTCTAGCATATACTTTTGCTACTCTAATGTGAGAAAGCACTGAAAGAGGTATTCAAATGCAAACACTAAGAGCAAATGATTAAGAATTTGTTTGTACATAACTAAAAGATCTATGTCAGCCTAGTATTTGGCAACTCTATCCTGCCAAACCTTTAAGGACTTCCCCTAATTAAAGCAGAAAAGTGTCCGAGAAACTTTGGCCGTACTCATACGTAAATTTGTTAACAAATACATATCTATTAATTGTGGTTTTCTATTCATTCATTGAGATGACTGAGCCTCTTTTGCATTAAAACAAGAAAATTACTACTTTGCACTATATTGCACTTTGCTAAAGCATGATTTTATCCTTGGATGTTTTAAATTCACTTCAGCTAGAGACAATATCTTTCTTTCTTTTTTATGCTGATATAGATGGTACTATTGATTGCTTGATCTTCTTGCATGTACATTGATAACCTATCATGAGTTTTTGCTGTTTTTATTTGCCTGTTTACTTCTCGGTTTTCATCAGTTGACTTACTGTTAAATATGCCTTTTGTATTTGATTTTATTAAATTATGGAGCTCTGAATACATGAATCCTGGAGAAATTTATTCACAGTTCAATGAAATTGAACGGCTTTTGGACTTTAGTAACCATATGGGTTCTAAAAGTGGCGTGACATTGGTTTGTTGATCCCCATCTGAAAGCTTGTCATGTATCTTAATATCTAGTGATTCTTTCTATTATGTTCCAGTGAAGCAGAAACTCATTTAAGCGACAAGAGTTGCTGCAGCTTTTAAAAATTCTTATTTGGCTGATGCTTATGCTAAAGTCTTACAGTTGCAGCTCTTGGTGAGGCAATCGATAGAAATGGATCATCTGAAGAGGAGGTTGATGTGAATAATGGTTTCATCGACCCTCAGGCTGAAGATCAAGAACTGAAAGGTCAATTGCTGCGCAAATACAGCGGTTACTTGGGTAGCCTTAAGCAGGAGTTCATGAAGAAGAGGAAGAAAGGCAAACTGCCTAAGGAAGCAAGGCAACAACTGCTGGACTGGTGGACCAGACATTACAAATGGCCATATCCATCGGTATTACCCTCTTTGCCTTTATATCATTATTTTTCTATTGATGTATGAAATATGCATCTATTAATCCATTGTTTTACATATATCGATCATTTCATCAATTTCTGTTCTGCGTCATTTCGGTGTAATACTCACCACGCTTGCCTTACAAGTGATCAGGAGTTGTGATGATGACGCATACTGATAAGTTTAACTTTTGTGCACCAGCGAATACTTTTTTTACCATTAGGTTAAGATGTCTTAACAACAATAGGTAAGTGCTTTCAGTATTCCTAATCTTGTAGTAACATAAAATTTTGCAATAAATAGCCTTCTATAACCAGTTAAAAAACACTGCAGTGTAAATTCATAAAAGAAATGTACAATTCCGAGGAAAATCTCATGATCCATTTACCTGTGTGTGTGTGTTATATATTAACAGGAATCCCAGAAGCTGGCACTTGCTGAATCTACAGGATTGGACCAGAAGCAAATAAACAACTGGTTTATCAACCAAAGAAAAAGGCACTGGAAACCTTCAGAGGATATGCAGTTTGTGGTAATGGATGCTGCTCATCCACATTACTATATGGACAATGTTCTGGGTAATCCTTTCCCAATGGATATGACACCAACTCTCCTCTAAATTCTGGAGATGGCCAATTCCAACTTATGAAAATTAGAGTGATTCTTGAATCTTGAAAATGTGTATTTCTAAATCTATTGTCAAGGATGTTTTGCATATATATTTCTCGTATGCATGTAGTTATTGTAATTCCAAGGCTAATACCTTAAGTACTGGTAGTTCGAGCTATTTCTGTTATGGTTAACTCTCTGAAATTAAATTTACTACTAGTTTGTTTTAAGGTCCGATGTCTATTTTAAAGTTCATGTATTTGCGTATTAGTGTCGGTGACTAAGCTTGTACGGATAATAACTAGAATAACCTTATTGTTTTATTTATAGTTGCTTTCATTTTATGATGGTATAGATATACATTTTAAAAGTAGTTCAGTTGGATACACTGTATTTGAGCTCCTGAACGATATCTCATGTGCTGCGATTTGAGTATTAAATTCTTGACAAATCTGAGACGAAATGGTGTATTTATAGTTGGAAAGTTGAGCAATAATATTTAATGAATTGTACTCGTCAAATGGCCCCCAAAGCCTTTTTCATTAGCGTGTGAAATAGTGGTCTTTGAACACAAAATTGCACACTTACCCACCCAAATGGCTTCAGTAGCAAACTGAAGCCCACTTCATGAAGAAGGCTTTCCTAGAATTGGGATCTTTACACAAATAGCCGGTCATATTAATTATTTACTTTTTTAGCCTTATATATTGATTATAGTTTAATCATATCACTTATACATTCACTGACTATTTTTAGTTTAAGTGATATGATGAACGGCTATTTGGGTTAATTCTTAAAGAATTAAGGGCAAATTACACATTTGACCGGTCAGCAAAAATAATTGTATCTCTTAGCTAAGTATACAAATATAATAGAAATTACATGTTTAAATGTTAGTTAAAATTTATACTATATTCTGAATCTCGAGAAACGGAAAACCTCATATAAATTGATTTGGAGGGAGTACTATTTATAGTTCTGCTGAGACTTATGGCAAATGTTGTATTTTACTCCATGAGAAAGAACTTTGTCCGACAATATTATTATTTTTATTTTTGAGAGGCTTCACAGTTATTACTTATTTTATTTTATGGGTTAATCCTAAGTTTTATATTAAAAACTCTAAATGAAACAAATTAAGTCCTTGCCCAAAAATATAACAAAATAAAAGTAAGTAAAAATAGCAACTCCTTCCGCCGAGAAAGTTACTTTTGCACAACTTATTTAAAGACGAGGCCTATTTTACTGTATATTGGATTCTATATATTGTACTCAAAAAACTATAATAAATCTTCTAGTCAATAGTAAGCCAAAAAGAAAAAAAACTCCAACTTTGTATTAGTGTCAAATTAAAAAAAAGAATAAAAAATTCTAGGGTTTATAAGGAAACCCTTCAGTTTCAGGAGAATCAAATGAATGCCATCCATCTTCGAGAAGCTACGAAAGCATCCACAAGAATGCACCTAGATTTTCGTCTTCCCTTTTGAATCTACATCTTAATACGCTCTCACACTGCAAAATCCCCTCATTTTCCATGGCCAAGACCCGACCTGGAAAACGTGACTTGGACTCTTACACCATTAGACGCACCAACAAAGTTGTCAGAGGTATCTACAAATTCCATCTGCATTGTTTTTTCTCTAAAAAATGTGGTCTTTTGGAATCAGCTTACGTGTAACTCGACTAACCTGTTGCAACCCACCAGTACATGTGGGGCATGTGGGTTCGCTCTAGGGGGTTGTAGCGGCTATTTGAACGTGGGATTTAGGTTTTGTTAGGATTTTTGTGTGGTGTTTGCTTTAGGTTTTTGAAGAAGAAGATAAGGCTCTTTGTGAGACATGCATGTGTATACCCGCCTATTAAGGTGTTTGAAATTGTTTCTGCATTTGTTTTTGCTTGTGTCTATGCTCATATAGAATTATAGATAGTGGCTTAGAAGAAAGATTGTTTCTTTGTAATGGTTAGCAGCTGGCATTTTTTGGCCATAATTTGTTTTTAATCTTTTCTTCCTTTATACCCTGTGCATTCAACTGCTTTATCTGTTTTTCCATGTAAATGGCTTAGTAGGAATGATTATTACCCCATTTTTGTGGATATTAGTGAGTTATTCTCCTTCATATTTGTCTGTTCTCCTACAAGCGCCTAAATATACTCATTCATATGAGCAATTATGATTGAATTTCCTGGAACTTAGATGGATTATTGTTTCTGATTTCTGTTTTTGCACCATTGAAAAAGGAAAAAGGCCTGTGCTATGCAAAAGAAGAGAATCTGTTGTGCTTTAGTAAGTTTGTAGACAGGCAGAGAAACGTGTTTATGCATACACATGGAACATGTTATATGCCATTTGGAGAGCATTCAGCATAATTTTATGGCCATTAGAGAGGATGAGATTGTTGAGGAGTTGGATAATGGTAAAGATGCTAGTTATGCTTTTTTTATGTACGTTGACAGAAGTATCCAGCTGTTTTATGCAGGCAATGCCTCTGCACTCGTTCCTAACAGTGGAACCACTCGAATGACTGTGCTCATTTTGTACTTCTCTTTAGTACTTAAGATCTGCATTAGCTGCTTAATTATGTTGCTGTTGCTGGGGATTTTAGAAATGGCATTTGATCCTTATCATGTAGTTGTGATCTGTGAATTGCATAACTGAATTTGGTTTTGATTGCTATGACTGTGAAGCTGGAGACTGTGTGTTGATGCGACCATCAGAAGGCGATACGGCTCCATATGTGGCACGTGTAGAAAAAATTGAAGCTGATAACCGGAACAATATAAAGGTGCATGTTAGATGGTATTACCGGCCAGAGGAGTCACTGGGAGGGCGGAGACAGTTTCATGGAGCAAAGGAGTTATTCTTGTCTGACCACTACGATGTCCAAAGTGCCCACACTATAGATGGGAAGTGCATTGTTCACTCTTTCAAGAACTATACTAAGCTTGAGAATGTTGGTCCGGAGGATTACTACTGCCGGTTTGAGTATAAAGCAGCAACCGGAGCTTTTGTGCCAGATCGTGTTGCAGTGTAAGTTTATGAGATGTCATTTGTTCTGATTGAACTTGAGTAATATTCTTCTAACTCATATTTCTTTTTTTTCGCTCTGAAGGTATTGCAAATGCGAGATGCCATATAACCCAGATGATTTAATGGTACAATGTGAGGAGTGCAAGGACTGGTATACACACACCATTTTATCTTACTGATTAAATTTCCGACTATCAGTAATGAATTATTTACATTGATTTCCTCTTCTCTTGAATGCTGGAAAACCAAATGATAAAACAAGTAAATAAACAGGAAAAGGAACATGAAAGAGTAGAGATCTTCTTTCTTGTTGCCTGTGTATGGCAGCTGAAAGAACCTTAGACAGTTGGGCTACCTCTGCTCTTCCTTCTTAGAGAGTTCTGCTATGTTATTATTTTTAAATCTTTTTTTTTATATGTTAAAAAGGGCGCTATCTCAAGGAATGTTTAGTTTTTCTTGCTTATTTTTCCGTAGTATTCATTATGTGCAATATATGAAGAGCATATCTGTGTGGTGAAAGTGGTGGCTGATCTTTGCACTATGATTATTTTGTGTAAAGCACAAATATTAAGTAAATGGATATTCATCCCTAGCAACTTATCCGAAAAGAAGAATAAAAAGTTTTCTTAGTTCGAATTGGTGATTTCTTAGTTTCCAGCATGAAAATTGCATAGGCCTATCTATAAGTTTTGAATTGGTCGTAATGTTGTGCATACATAAAAGACTTCCACATCTCAATTATCTAGCAACAATCTGGGGTTGAGTGAATTTTTTCTGGGTGCTGTCCAAGTATGAGTTCCACATTGTATATAACCTGTTATAGCCACTGTTCTCAAGACGGGACTGTACTTTCACGTTATATCTGATTGGTTAAACCAAAAAAGCAGCCAGGCTTGTAGTTCCAGTTTTAAAAGCATTGCATGCTTTCATTTCTTACAATTCGTTCCCTTGATCTTTGTAGGTATCATCCAGCCTGTGTGGGCCTGACTAGTGAACAAGCTAAACAAATAGGTGACTTTGTTTGTTCCGACTGCTCGTCCGAAGATCTGAAGAAGTCTCATAATACTTATGCTGCATCCCCTCTGTCTAATGGCAAGGTAGCATGTTCATGGCTTCTTTTAGCTGTTGTTGATTGGTTTTTAACATGTTAAAAGATGGAGTTTGTAGTAGTTATCCGCTTCAGCTAATTTTTTACGATAGCATGAATAAGAATTTGCTGGAATAGGTCCAAATGGAGTGGAATGGATATAGGGGATTCTATAGCATACTCAACTAGTCTGGGATTAAGACATTATTGTTGCAGTGACAAACAGCATCTCCTACCATAAGGATGAAAGGGTTAAACAAGTGATGAGCTTTAGACATTAGGATGGACAGAATCCATTAATTATAGACTTTTCTTTAGGTTCTAGAACTATCTAGGTGGACTAACTTCTGAAATTATGAAAGGTGAAAAGTCATTTATTATTACCATTTATTATTACCATGATTGCCATCATTGAGTCCTTTTGACTCCGTTCTGATTTCACAGAAAAAAAGAGAGCAAGAACTCGTCTTTTATTTTCGTCATGCGAGTTTCAAATTAGCGACTGTATCGGCTGCTACCATGAGTCTCAATCCAGTTTCTTAAAATTTGTTATGTTAGCCAAGTAGTTAGTCCCGTTGCATTGGCTAAGTGACTGAAATACATGTACTTATAAATCTGCTTCATTTTCTAGTCAACGTGATGTTGAACTTTTGCGTAAAGATGACTATAAGAAGTCCTCCCTTTATGCATCTTCTGGAAACATTATTTTGTCAAAAACTTTCTTACTATATTCTAAAAAGGGGAAAGAAAACAAAAAAGATGTTCTCCCACTTGAGATACATGCCAAGGCTATCTGTGGTAAAAAAAAAAAAAAAGGTGAGCTTTTAAGTACTTATTTAGTCATCCTTACATGAAATAGAAGTTACATATTGCAGATTCAAAGGTACAGGTGCATGTAGACTGAGAAGTGTGCTTTTGTGGTTGTGAAACTGTAGGACTCTTGTTATTAGAGATGTGTTTAAGGCTTGAAGATGGATGGCTTACGCTAAGGCACCATTGAAGCTGAGGCTCTTGGACTCCCTCTAAACAATAAATATGGGCGGAAAATCGAATATTATTTGTTAGGAATATGTCGTTATAAAATGTATTTGGTAATTATGGATTTGGGGGAGTGTTAAGTCCATATTGGTTGAGGGAATGAGTTGTAGTCTCCTTATATGGTCTTGGGCAATCATCCCCTGAGAAACTTCTTGGATTGAGTTAGGCCCAAGGTGTTGAGTGGGATTTCACTGGGTTGTTGAGTAGAACCCTCGTCTATGCTGTTGGAACTTTGTTGTTGAGCAACAAGTTCCCTTTGATGATGCTGTAATTGCATTTTCATTCTCATCTGATCCTTGCTTTGGTTGATTATTGTAATTCTTCTTTTTGAAAAGGTAAGTATTATTATTCACAACTTCAGCACTAAGAATGTGCTGGCAATGCTGTACAGAGGTGAGCAAAAAACCAAAAAAACATATCCCTTTTCTACTCTTGGAGGGACCATATGAAATCTAAAATAGATTCAACATCATTTAGAAGTTCTCTTTTATGCCAAAGTAAAACAAAAAATTCTGCTGGGTTTCATCTTATGGATAGAATTGAATATGTGTCCTCGAAGCATCTTGAATTTCTTTTCGTCCATCATCGACCAAATGCAAGCACAGGGGTTTTATTCCACGAGTTAGCTCTTCCTTTATCCAGTCCTGCTCTATTCCAGCATCTCAAAAGGTCAACTGTAGCAGCATAACCCATTGGACCCCCCTCTCC